AGGTCCCATACCTTCTTTACAAAGTCCAAAATCAGCCAACTTAATATGACCATCCTTGTCTAAAAGGACGTTTTCGCCCTTTAAATCTCTGTTGGAAAAAGAAACTAGCTAATTTTAGCTTTAGAGAGAGAATGTTGCACTCACAGAAAGCCGCTTGAGTTTAATAGGCAGTTAATGAGAAAATGGTTCTCGTGTTTTAAAAGGAATGACATTTCTTACCTGTAGATAATACCTTGTCCGTGAAGGTATCGAAGGACCAGAACAAGCTCGGCAGCGTAGAAACTAAATTTGAAATTAAAAAAATTAAAAATAAAAATTACTTATTATAAGAAATTAAGACATGAAAAAAGAATTCAAACATGACAAGGAATGAAAACAGTTTTTATAGCCTGCAGTACCGGCATTTTCCGTGTGATCACGATTTATCGGTATTAGCTCGCTTTCGAGCAGATTCGCCGCCATGTTGCCTGAGGAAAAGTGGGCGGGGAGGGTGTGGAAAAAAAAGGAGAGAAAAAACGCCGTATTTTCCTTTCCCCTCCCCCTCCACCTCCCCCGTTATTCCTCTTTCAGTCCTAAGCCCCGACCAAACGATCGCAACATTTCAACGCAGCGTATCGCAACATTGTTGGGCGCAACATGTTTCGCGTGTTTGGCCACCCAGTTGCAACGTGTTGCGACATGTGGGGTGTTTGAAAATGGTCAAATTTGAGCTAACAACACCCAGTTGTCACAACACGTCACAACAGGGTGGCCAAACGTGCGCAACGTGTAATATATTGCTCCCAACAATTTTGCGATATGTCACGTTGAAATGTTGCGATCGTTTGGTCGGGGCTTAACTCCTTTTATTTCGGGGCGTTTTCGTCTCTCCCCAAACCTCTTCCGAGTTTGAATCTAAGGGCCTGTTTACAAGGAGAGAGGGCTACCCTAGAGGGCGGGTTACCCTGGCAAGCGGGTTACCCTAGCACTCACACATTTCCTCTTTTTTTCTTCATCGTGTTTACAAGGCAGCTAGGGTTACCCTGGTAGGCGGGTTACATATTTGCCGGGTAGGGTTAACCCGCCTACCCGGGTTAACCTTCTAATTGTTTCCAAACCCTTTGAGTGTAACCGCGCATTAAGTTGTCACGGGTTGTAGGGTTACCCTACCTATAAAACTTTGCTTGTAAACCCGGGCTATCTTTTGCCCTCCAGCTAGGGTTAACCCGCTTGCTAGGGTAACCGTCCCTCCTTGTAAACAGGCTCTAAGATGGCGCTCGCTTCAAAATGCGCTTGCTCCCCAAAATACGCTCTTATTGCAGGCTACTGTGTTTAGGGCTGTTGGCTAAAACTGAGATACATACCAAGATCTTTTTTCACCAAATCCTCCTTCTTTACAAATCAGCGAGATCAGTTCGCCACCGCTAACGTATTCCATCACAAGAAACAAACGATCCTGAAAAAAGAATTGCCGCAATCCGTTTAATGCATTATTACAATTAATATCATTGTTTGAACAAAAATCATAAACTCGAGTCATAACAGAGATTTTAAGAAATAAATTAAATATAATTAAGTGAGCTAAATAAGCAAATGACATTAGAAAAATCGAGGAAGACAAGAATGGAAGAACCTTCCTAATATAGAAATACAAGGCAATCAGTTCCTCGCACGTGAGAAAACACTTAAAGGAGCTCAGTCACGGTTTG